GTAATTTCATTGCTTGAGCAAATTAATACATCCCTGGAAATCGGTATGCAACTGTTGATCTGGCAAATGCCTTTTTTTCCATCTCTGTCAATAATACCCACTAGAAACAGTTTGCTTTCAGTTGGCAAAGCCAGCAACATACCTTTGCTGTCCTACCTCAGGGATATATTGACTCTCCAGTTATAAGTCATAATTTAGTTTGCTTAATCTTGATCGCCTTTCCCTTCAATATGATTATCACTCTGGTCCAATATATTAATTCTATTATACTGATTGGACCTAGTAAGCAAGAAGTAACAATCCAGAGTTACTGGCAAGCCATTTGCATGTCTGAGGGTGAGAATAAATTCAGGGGCTTTCTAACCCAGTCTAATTTCTAGGGGTCCAATGATGTGGGTCATGTCAACATATCTCTGCTAAAGTGAAGGATAAGTTGTTGCAACTGGCCTTTTCTCCAAACAAAAAAGAGGCACAATGCCTAGCAGTTATCTTTGGATGTTGGAGGCAACATAGTCCTCATTGGGTGTGTTACCCAGATCCATTTAGCCAAAATGTTGCTACGTTTGAGTAGTGCCCAGAACAAGAGAAAGCTCTGCAGCTGGGTATGCTACTCTGCTACTTGAGCCATATAAGCCAGCAGATCAGTGGTGTCGGTAGCAGATCAGGACACTGTCTGGAAAGTTTGGCAGAGGCCTCTTGATGAATCAAAGCATAGCCTTTATGGATTTGAGGACAAAGTTCTGACATCCACTGTAGATAATGATTCTCCTTTTAAGAAACAGCTGTTAGTCTGCTATTGGGCTTTTGTAGAGACTTAATGCTTAATCATGGGCTAACAACTTATCACGTAATCTTAGCTGCCCAACATAAACTTGACATTAGTGTGCAAATCAGCACTCCATCACCAAATGGAAGTGATATATATGTGATCAGGACTGAGCAAGCCCTACAGGCAAAAGTAAGTTAAAAGGAAGAAGGGGCCCAAATGCCGATGGACACCAACTCCTACTGCACTGCTTTTTATCAGCATGAATTGCTTGTGGAAAGTTTCCACCATCAACTGGCTTCCTACCCAAACTCAGATCTGGTTTACAGGTAGTTCTGTAGGATATTCAAGCACCATTCAAAAGTGAACAGCTGAAACACCAGAGCCCCTTTCTAAGACATCACTGAAGGACAGTGATGAAGGGAAATCCTCCCAGTGAGCAAAACTGAGAACTGTACACCTGGCTTTTAGTTTGCTTGGAAAAAGATATGGCCAGACATGTAATTATATATTAATTCATATTCTGTGGCCAATGGTTTGGCTGGATGGTCAGGAACTTGAAATGAACATGACTGGAAAATTGGTGACAAGGAAATATGGAGGAGAGGTATGTGAACGGACAGCTCTCAATGGGCAACAAATTTAAAGATAGTTCTTTCCAAAGTAAATGTTCAATAAAATATTTTAAAAATTAAATGGCTAGGGTGATCCATTCTAGAGACACCAGTCATTCTATTTTCCAGCTAACCATCATAGCCAGTATTTATAGGTCTAGAAATTAAGGGTGAACAATGCAGGAGGCAGCCGATTAATGTTTCTCTCTCATTATTGATGTTTCTATGTCTCTTTCCCTCTGACTTCTTCTTAAAATCAATAAAAATATATTTTAAAATTTTAATAATAAAGGTTGACCTAAGTCTCACACCTTATATAAAAATGAACTCAAAATGAATGACTATTTTTAGTGTAAAACCTAAAACTAAAAAACTTTAAATCATTTTTAACACCCTCTAATGAGATACCAAAAATGTGTGTTCTCCCAGGTGGCAATGAGTAATCAACTCAGTTCATTCAACTACAGATGTGTTCCTAGTGGTCTCTGGTTATAGGTCAATGACAAGTCTCAGAAATGATTACTTCAAAAAGACTAAATAAATATACTACCAAATAGGTTTAAAAAGAAAAACAGAAGAAATTCTTCATGAACTAGGGCTAGGCAAAAAATTCTTAAACATGGCATCTAAGGCATAATCCATATAAGAAAAAACTGATAAATAGAACTGTTTTCGATATAAAATTGTATCTAGCTTGCCAATTTGCTCTCAAATATACTATCCTATATATCTGTCATTTTATTTTCTAATATATCCAATTTGACTTCTTCATTACTCATTATCAGCTCATGTGTACTAAGCCTTCTTAATTCACATTAAACAATGAAGAAAAAGTTTCAGCTAAGTAACTTTCAGAAAAAAATCTGTTTGTATCCAGATAGTTCCACTTTTAGAATACTATTCATATTCTTTTAATGCCACTATACTACCTCCAAACTCCAGAAAATCAATCTGAACTCATATATACTGCTGGTGTAAGCATAAATTGGAACACCAAATTTTCACATTACCATGTAAGATTGAAGATGCTCAAAATCTATCTATGTGGAAACCCAGGAAATCTATTTTTCTGACTGTACTGGTCATTCCAGAAGCATACAGGCATACAGTAAAACTTTCAAGAGGGTTGACTACAGCTGTCTCCAATTCCTCTCTTTCTATTCTCTACACAGATTCTCTAACATGCTTTCATTTCCAACAATTCGTTGAAATAGCTTTTTGTGAAGATTACCAATGATGTCTACACTGTCAAATCCAAAAGTATATTCTCAGTCCTCATCTAGTCTGACTCTTGATCATGACTAAATGAATTATTCCCATAATCTTCATTTAAGGTTCAGGATCTCTCTCTTGCTCCTGGTTCTCAGCCTATCTTACTAGAGATCCATTTTCAGCCCTTTAGTGGGTTTCTCCTTATCTTCCTGACCCTAAGGTTGAGATGCCCCAGGGTTGAACCTTTAGATGTGTTCTCTTTTCTGGCTACACGGTGATCTCTATCATGATCATAACTTTAAATATTATCTCTAGCCGAGACTGGTTTGGTTCAATGGATAGAGCGTAGGCTTGGGGACTGAAGGGTCCCGGGTTCGATTCCGGACAAGGGCATGTACCTTGGTTGCGGCCATATCCCCAGTAGGGGGTGTGCAAGAGGGAGCTGATCGATGTTTCTAACTCTCTCTCTCATCGATGTTTCTAACTCTCTATCTCTCTCCCTTCCTCTCTGTACAAAATCAATAAAATATATTTAAATAAATAAATAAATAAATAAATAAATAAATAAATATTATCTCTACATTAATGATTCCCAAAACTATTATTCTAACACACCTGCTCTCCCATACTCCACACTCAACTTCTCCACCTTCATGTTTAAGGGGCATCTTAGTTTAATACATATAAAAGCTAACTCTTATTTCCCACTACAACTACTACTCATGAGGAACCCATTTTCCAAACTTTTGGTCTTTGCCAAATGCACGCAATTGATTGGAAATTGTTTTTTGTGAACAATTTAAAGTTGTCGCAAGCTCTTGTTGGGTAATTTGAGGATTTTGCACCAAAAGAGCTTGAAGAGCTTCTTGATCAAAATTGGACACATGGCCTCGACCACTCTTGTCATCTAACGAAAAATTTCCCTCGCGAAATTTCTCAAACCAACGCTGGCATTTTCTGGCGCTAACTGCATCTTGACCAAGAGCACTACAGATGTTTTTTGCAGCCTCACTTGCTTTTCTTCCTAATTGGAACTCGTAAGTATGCTCTTCATCCGCCATCTTCTTAGCCCTAGTTTTGCAACAAAAACCAAACCAAACACAAACTTTATTTTGTGAATAAATTTTATGGGGTCAAATATTGATATAATTAATGGCACCTATCTTAAAGCTATTTAGGCCAACAGCCTTCAAAGTTACCTTTTTTTTTTTTTACATCTCACGTCTAATCCAACAACAAATTCTGTCATGTCATCTCTTCCTTCAAAATATAACCAGAATCTGTCCATTCTTTATCATCCTAATCAAAAACTTCACATTTATGAGAAGAAAGCAATGGAAAGCCATTTTCCATTTTTGTAGATAAGGGCTAGTTACACCATCACTTTGATAGATCATTTGCTTTAAAACAGGGACAAGTCAACTGGCTGCTTTATCCTATATAAGCTTTAGGATTTCATCAAGAGATAAAAGGAGGCAGTAAAAGAGATTCTTGAGGTATCTCTATCATCCAGCCTAGCACTGAAGAGTAGGACAGCAGCTAGATATTCAGAGAAGTTGCCAAAACCAAGACAGTCTGGTACATATTCAGCTGAAGCACCTCCTACAAAGCATCTTGAATACCAAATAGACTCTATACTGAATCAAGTATAAGAGACTTTTTTTTAATTGTATAAAGTTTTACATATGCCTCCTTTTTCTCCAGTTGACCGCCCACCCCAACCCCAGCCATTCCCACAAATAAGATTTTTATCAGCTGGCATAGTTGGCATCTCAACATTTAGAAAAACCAAAATATATTTTTGCTACTGCCAAACAAAGTAAATATGAGACCTTGTACAAGTTACTTAGATAATCTGATCTTGGGCAAGTCACTAGACAGTGAGACTGGAATAAATGATAATAAAGAAAACTTACAGGTCCATAATGAATACTTCTTTTAGAGGTAAAATTATTTTAGATAGGTTTTTTATTTTTTTTAAAGTCTAGAATTCAAAAATTCAAAAAAAAATGTCTAAGATTCCTTCTGAGATGTTAACATGAAGGGATATAATGTATCCCTCATGCCAATGCCACAGAGATAAAATGCAGGATTAGGCAGATCACTATCCTAAAAAAATATGATAATTGGACTACCTATAGTGTTAGTTTTACCATAAATTTATATGCTCTTGAATAAGAAAAGCATTAAGAATTCTGACTGTAAAATTACATGATTCTATGATTTATTTGCTGAGTACAGATTATATCTCAGACACTAAAATAATTGCTATAGGGACACAAATAATTACAAATAGACTAAGTTTTGTTTTTATTTTTGAATTGAAATAAACAGCAGGTCACCTAAATATTCCTTTACCTTCATCAGGCACAGTGAAAATATCCTAAAAAAGCAATTTAATTATGTACCTTTCAGTGCTGTAGTGTTTTCTTTTTCATCTGGACCTCCCTGCTGGATTTGTGCCATGCTTATCCAAATTGGACACAAAATTAAAGAGCTCAAGGAAATAGACATCAATCTTCAGAAGACAGTCTAGAATGAATGAAAGCAATAAATTAAGCTCTACTCAATCCTGCCTACTCTATGAGAACTTTCTTGATCCTCCCAGTCAAGACTAATCTCTCTATCCTGATTTTCCACTGTATTTTGTTGATGTCTATACTATGTCCTCATCAAAGGCTGCCTTGCACTGTAGTTATTTATATATTTATCTAGGTCAGCGAAAAGATTACAAGCACCAGGACAGAGGTATTAAGGTTTTTCATCATTATATCTCTCATGTCACAAAACACAATACCTGAGAGTACATACAGATATCTAATATTGCTGAATTGAACTTAGCTAAACTATTTAGTTTTAGTTCCTTATCCTCTAACAAGAGGCCCAGTGCATGAATTTGTGTGTGGGTGGGGTTCCTTGGCCTGGCCAGCAATCAGGGCCATAGGAAGTTGGCCAGTGGGAGGAGGGACCATAGGAGGTTGGCTTTGGGAGTGCACTGACCACCAGGAGGCATTTCTGCATTGAGTAGAAACCCTGGGAAAAGCTATCTATAGACTTTGACAAATCATAATTTTATATTGTTATTGTTCACTGGACTGCCATTTGTAGATTATGGTTTCTAGACATTGAATATAACATAGTTTCATTTTTAAAAAATTAAATTTATTGGGATAATAAGATTAACCAAATTTATTGGTTTTAAGATTATATAGGTCTCAAGAGTCAATTTCTATGACACATGATCTGTATATTCCATTATGTGCCTACCACCCAAAGTCAAATCATCTTTCATCACCATATATTTGGTCTCCTTTTCTCTTACCCCCCTTCCCTTCGGTAACCACCATTTTGTTGTCCATCTATGAGTTTCAGTTTTATATCCCACATATGAGTGAAATCATATGGTTCTTAACCTTTTCTGACTGACTTATATTGCTTAGTCTAATATTCTCAAGTCCATCATGTTGTTGCAAATGGCAGTATTTCATATTTTCTTATGGTTAAGTAGTACTTCAATGTATATATGTACCACATCTTCTTTACCCAGTCCCCTATCGCAGGACACGTTAGTTTCCATAGTTTCATAGTAAAAGGGCTATTTTTTTTTCTTTTTAGAGTTGTTTTTTAATTACATTAGATTTAATTTATAGCTACTTTTTGTATTTATGTATTTTTCTCCTTTTGGCTATCTGCATGTTCCAGGAGAAGACATCCTGACCTTATAGATAACACATGCTTACAATTTATCTTAAAAGAAAGTTACAGTTTTTGAAATATTCCACTATTCCTAAATTAAAAGGAAAAAAAAACTGCAACACATACAATGAAAAAATTAAACTAATTTAGTCAAACCATAACTGTTAATAAAATAATTTAAAAACTACATTCATGACAATAATAAAATAAGACTGAATATTTCTCTGATTGAAGAACCCAATTGATTTGCTACCAGTAAGCAAACCCCCATTTCCATTCAATAATACATTTTATAATTATCTTTAAAAACTGAGTCATTTTCATAGTTAGCAGAGCATAGCAATAACTAGAATGAATGTAAGCAATTTTTGACTGAGAAAGTTTTTTTTTAAACTTAACATGAAAGAATTATTCTGCTGTGAATACTTCATTTAAAATTCTGTAACTTCTATATGAATAAAATGTGTCTATATTTTCTTAAGGAACATAGCCTAGTCTATGGGATGGGCAATTTATAAGATAAGAGAGTTAGTCAAATAAGACATGGCTATGGCCATAGCCCAAGTGGGGACTTAACTCTCTAGCTACCAAGTCAAACTGCCAAATAACCATAAGTAAAATATATGAGATTTAGATTTATAGTTAAACATCATTATAAAACAGCAATATTGTAAGGAGAGTTAGTCTTATCAGTTAAAAGTTCCACAAGTCTGTTTACATTCACCAGTGACTCCTTATTATATAAATTAAAGAGAAATGTGCAAAATGGGAGATTCTATATAGTATTCTGCTATCAATTCCACAACTAAATTAACTATCTACAAGGGACTTGTTGCATTTTTATTCTATCACTCTGCTAATACAGTATTTCTTATAAATATAAACTGTTCAGCTACTTTTCATTAGACTCAACATACCTGATTTCTAAACAGAATTTATATAATTATTTCATTGTGATCATTTAAACAAAAGTGAAATTATAAAATATTTTTGATGCTAGAGTCCTTTTCCAGATTTGTATTTTAGAGTACTGGGGAGCGATGGACAGCATAGTGACTATAATTAATAGTGTATTGTATACTTGAAAGAGGGTAGATCTTAGAAGTTCTTACCTCACACAAAGATAACTATGTTAGGTAAGGGATGTGTTAATTAACCTTATTGTACTACTCATTTTGCAAATATAGTGCCATCAAATCAGCATACTGTGAACCTTAAACTTACACAATGCTATATATCCATTATAACTCAACAAGGCTTTTTAAAAGCTCTAAATACTCTGCAATGTTGACTAACATGTTCATTCCCTCTGTAGACTTCGATCTCCATGAGGTCAGGTTCCTAGCACAATGTCTGGCATATTTGGAGTTCAAGGGATATTTATAAAAGAGAGAAGGGGGAAAGATTCACATTTTTAAAAAATCATTTTCAAGATTCCCAAGATTAAACATCAACTAACAATTACATTCTTATTCTATAGGAGAATAACTAAAAATACGCATTGCAACTCATTGAAGTGATGATACATAAGTTAGGAAACTAATTACTACTCGAGACCCTAAACCCCTAAACCATAGCAGAAGATGCAAAGCAGGTAAGTATGAAGCAAAACATCTCATTTTTGACTGGACTCAGATTTAGAGGTAGAAGCTCTCAGAGAGGACAGTCTACGTCTCTTCGCAATCTGTTCCTGGCATTTTTCTTTCCCTCCTTCATTCTCTTAGCCAGAAGTTTAGCACATTCTGTAGCCTCTTCATTGTTTTTCTTAGCACGTAGTTTCTTCAGAGCAATACCCCTGCATTTGTATGGATGAACACGTGGAGTAACAAGACTTTGACTCTTGGGTGCTTTAGTCCTAAGTTTTCTTGAGGCTTTCTCACAACATATTTCGGACATCATCTTCTTTAGAGAGACTGAAAAGTTTGTGGATACTGCTAGCTCTTTTGGGCCCCAGGTGACAAGGCACAGGGAGACCAGGAATATCTTTCTCCCCTCCTTCTTTTTTTTACAATGACCAAGTTGAGAACACTGAGATTGGCATCCACAATGCAACCCCGACCAGATTTTCGTTTTCTCTCTCCAATTCTCCTTGGTCTGTAACAGGATTGCTCCTTCCTCAGCAGCAGTTGGATTAGGCCATGGGTCAAGACACCCTGCTTCATGGGGAAACCTTGTTTGTCATTCCCACCACTGACTTGAACCACTTAACCCTTCCATTCTTCACCCCGAGATCAGCAGCAACTTTTGTGGCCAGACGCTTCACATAAAGGGTACGAAGTTTGTGTTCATTGCCCACTTCAATGAGTTTCTGGCAGCCAGTGGCTGGGAAAGAGATCTTGAGCTTCATCCTGAAGCAGCCTGCAGCCTCCAAGGCACCACGAAAAAGAAGAGCTCTGTTGCTCTCTTATTTACTGTTACATTTTTACCCTCTCCCGTTATTTTCCATGGCCGTGGTACAGCTGGTGAAATTAAATCAGGGACATTTAAAATCCTCAATTTTGTTTTCCTAATAAAAATTCAGAGCTATAACCTGCACGACCACAGATAAACACTACTGAAAATGCAGCCAGGAAGCTATTTGATACATTTGATATATATTAATATGTGCACTCGACATAGTTTATTTAGTATTATCTGATGGAGGTAAGGTTATAGGGAATAAAGTGGTGGAAGGTTTTTACTGATATGAATTCGAACACAGCTGACAAGTTGTATACTTCATGATAACCACTGCTGTTTAAATATGGTCTCCTAGAAATGTTACAGTATAAACTAGATTCAAAACACCTCAGTTTGCGATTTCATTCTGTGAACTACACAAAGCAATTATCATATCTTCTTCCCTTCTAAGATTCCAACAGAGAACCCAGTACATATAAATAAAGCTGTAACTTGTCATGTGTAATCTTTATCTAGCCAGTATTTCAAAACATAAAACAGTAGAATATTTCTTATTGCCCTGTTTGCTCAAAATATGGCCTGAGCACTTACAAAATGTACAGAAAGATACACAGAAGCCTTAGTTTTAGGTCTGTTTGCTTTTAGGCAAGTATAAATGGAACTAGATATAGATAATTTTTGCAAGAGAAGGCTTTTCCACCTCACATTCTAAAAGCAATGATGAACGTGCAAAATATATCACAAGAGAGAGAAAAGTGGGTTAATTCCTGGAACTACTGGAGCTGGTTTGGTCCCAAAGAATCTTTGTTCACTAAGTCAGACTCTGGAAGTCCAGTCCACAATAGCCTACTTGCAATTAAAAGTAGAATATATGAATCGGTACCAGAGATTCTTAAGGAACCAAAAGACCCATCCTAATATCCAGGTTACTCAAAACTGCAAAGGTTAGCTCAGAATACTCCCAAGATTAGTGTTTATATTGTTTATAGTGTTTATATATTATTATAGCTTACTAGAGGCCTGGTACATGAAATTCGTGCACTGGAGGGGGTAGGGGGTGCCCCTCAGCCCAGCCTGCCATCTCCAATCTGGGACCTCTCAAGGGATGTCCGACTGCTGGATGTCCACAAGGATCGAGCCTAAACCGGCAGTCAGACATCCCTCTCACAATCCAGGACTGCTGGCTCCTAATGCTCATTTGCCTGCCTTCCTGAACACCCCCTAACCTCATCCCTGCTGGTCTGATTAACACTTAACTGTTTGCCCCCCATTGCCTTCCCTACCAGCCTTATCACCGCTAACTGCTCTACCCTGCCACTCTGATCTCGCCCCCAAGTGCCCTCTTCTGCCAGTAAATTTGGTTCTGATTGGTCAGTTTCTATGCCAGTCAGTGTTAAAAGCTCAGCTTCCTATGCAGC